AAAGGCTCTAGGAAATTAAATTAATTAACATACTGGATATGACAATAATTAAAATGTAAATCAAGATTGCATACCATAGGGGAAATAATAGCATCATCATATGTTTTAATTTGATATTTCAATGTCGGTTGATTAGGAGCTCTTACATAAAATTCATTCAATTGGATTACAAGATTAGCCTTAAATAAAAACACGTAAATTTAGAACATATCAGAAATTCAAATATTAAACGATTTTAATATAAATCTTACTTCATCCAAAGTACAGAATTTTTCCTTCATTTCTTCAGCCAACATCCAATCATACATACGATTTAAATCCATTTCAGTATATGGAAATTTACTCTTTCGCAAAAGCCTTATAAAGAATGTTGTGATATCATCGCCTCCATAGCGCAGGCATATCCTATAAACAAATTATAAAGCACATATTTCAATCATTACCATACAGCCTACAGATCGTTTGAATATATATCTGATCACACCTTGAATCTGGAATGCACATCCCATCTTCCACACAAGCAACGGTGGATGTTTGAGCACCAATATCCACAATACATGCAACTGATATGCCGGCACCAAAACTCACACAAACTGATTCTTGCGCTACAAAAACACAGCGAAATCCCATATAACGTAATAACATTGTTATCATCTCTGAGACGTATAGACGATTATAGATATCAGGAATAATGAGTATTATGGAATATAACTAATGCATATAAAAAGATAGAGCAAATGTTGATATAATGACACGTCAAAACTTGATCAATATATTATTACGTACCTTAAAATTCTTCGAGGTGATCCCAAGCTTTTCCGTTATCGTAGTGGTCCAAATTGTTTCCAAATCTCCAACAACTGCTTTAATTGAATTATAATCCCTGGTATTAAATTCACCATGTTGTATCGGATAGAATAATTTAAAATGATTCTCTTTATCATGGAGACGAAGTGCCTAACAATCATAATGACAAGGATCAATTACATTGATATTGGTAAATTTCTATCAACTATACCTAATCATAAAAATTCATACCTTTCGCCTACCTTTTCCCCAACATAATAGTCCACATTTTCGTCAACCACAGTCCAATCAACCTTATAAGGGTCGTTATGATCTGCAATTGTTTCCGGATGAGCTGACTTATTAAACGATAAAACTTGTGCTTGTGCATTAGCCACTGGTCGTCTTTTTGAAGTTTTCATTCTATCTTTCAACTCTTTTCTTATCTCATTTAAAACCTGAGTGAATTGTTCCTTTTAATCGAAATCAAACAAATAGATAGAGTGAGTTGGAACAACATAGGCAGTGAAATCCATAAATGCAACATTATCACGTCAATTATTGATGCTAAACCTCATCTTCTTCTATTTCTTCCATCATAGCCGGTGAACCCACAGAACCGGACCAATTCTCACCACTATCTGACTTTGAATCATCATTTTCCATTGCTATATCATTATTTTT